AGAGATTTGTGGGGAGAGATGTTGATTTTGAAACATGAGGGTACTACGGTAATTTTATATTTAAAAATTATGAAATTATTAATAAATAAGGAAGAGTGGGGTCATAGATTAGTTTTTTTTTTTCAAAATGGGGTTATAAATCCAAAGTGAATTATTGGAGGGGTCAAAATTTCAAATTTCCCGACATAATTTAACACTGGTTAATATGATTAATTAAAATACATTTTTAGTCCTGAATTTGAATTGTTTAAATCTAAGGTAAAATATTTGAAGTTAAGTTTCTATTTGGTCACTGTATTTCAAAAAGTGACAGTTTGATCCCTAACCTTTGAGAAATAGTTCTAAAATGTCATTGAGTTAAATTTTGGTTAATTACACAGAATGGTGTAACATGATAAATTGTATATTTATTATTTTTAATATAACAATTTTTTTTCTATTTTTATCTCTCTTCCCCCTCCTTTTCGTGAACCCTTATTTTCCCCTCTTCCTCTCTCTCTCTTCCTTTCTGCATGATCTCTGATAACTATTTTTCAAAAGTCACGACCAAATTGTTAGTTTTTTGAAATACTGAGAACAAATAGAAATTTACCTTTAAACGCAGGGACTAAAAATATATTTTATCTTTAAATCTATTCGAATTTCATTCACCTATTGAGGTTAATATAATGTTATTTTGTAGCATGTATACAGTGTTGCTGAAATATTATTTTAAGAAAATCTATCTCGTACTATCAAAGCGAACATAGCTCAGCAGTAATTGGTAGGTCTCCCCAACATATTGTACTAAAAAAAAAATTCTACCTCACTCTTAGGTTGTCATCAAGCTAACTTTTATTAAAAGATATGTAAACATTAGCCTAAAATTTGTGACTCCTTTGCAATTACAATGATATATATATACTTTAAGTACTACTCAACTATGTTCAATATAAATTTATCAAAACTACGAAGAATAGAAGTTGTCAGAATTGTACTACCAAAACTTTGAATTTGATCGATCACCCCTAACTATAACATCGTTGCAACTGGACACGTAAAATACTAAAATTATCTTTTAATTATGTATATCCTAATTCTTGTTTTCTTAAATTGAGGTCTTCATATCATTAATTATGCGTCAATTTTTGTTTTCTTAAATTGAGATGTCTGCATAACATTAACTTGGGGACCAAAATTTTCATGGTTGATATTTTAGTTTTGAACTAAAAGAGATGTTGGGATAAAGTAACAAAACGTTACAGTTTGAGTGTTTAGTTGTTGTAGATTTTGAAATATTTAAGAGTTTAATGGCAACAATTTAGTAAATTTATTTATCAAACTAAAAATTCAAAGGATGATTTGTACCTCGCTTAGGGTGATTTTTGCAATTTTACTTAAAATTTAAACCAAATTAGTAATAAAATTGCTTATTACTATACATTAGACTACCAACTCTTCAACCTTATCCCATCAAGTTCCACCCAATTTAAATTGAAAATTACTACGGCCTTATCTTCCTGCATTTACTAAGTCTTCGAGCGCTTACGTCAACACTCATATTCCAATCGACCACCACTAAAAATTTGACATATTTTTATTTAAAAAATAGAAAAATATATTATTTTATGCATTAATCTCTCTTACTTGTCAAAGTTTTAATGATGGTCAACAAAATAAGACAACTACTAATAAACGAAAAATTTATGGTACTACGAGAATATAAATACTCATTTCATTCACTACTTGCCACGTCAATATAGTATTAAGTGGAGCCACCAGTATTAAAAAATTATTTATTAATGTAAAATCATAATATGGACAAAGGGGGTATGATACTCTTGTAGTTTTCTCAATATATAATAGACAAATATGAGTGACTAGTGAGGCAATCATCAATTATTTTAACTTTTTAGACATTACAAATATTATGACACGTTTGGTACGTAATGCAGACTATCTTTCTTGTATTTTCAGATTTATTTAATGAAATAAATTTCATAAATATAAATTTGACAGGCTTATTTTTCATTTTTGGATTATCTAAATAGTGGAAAATTTAAAAACAACATTCATATATATATAAATATGGTTTTAGTGTTTTTTTTTTTTAGATTTTGAGTTTGGAAACATTAAAATACATCATTACATTAAAAAAAATTAAAAAAAATGGTAAAAACTTTGATAAATATGGTTAATTTCATTTTTGTTAAAATTAAAAAATATAAAAGATAAAAGATAATATATTATAAAATAATAACAATATATATTAATAAATTAATTAATATTATTTTAGATTAAACTAAATATTTAATATATTATTCAACCATTTTTTAAATTGATATTCATTTTCATATATACTACCAAGCTCCGATACCAAACACCAAAATATCGGAAATATGAAAAGTAACTTTATTTTCCATTATATCACTTGTTTTTAGATTTCTCTTTTTAGATTCAACGAAAGGCAGTGTTATCTTTTTTAATGCATTTTTTGTAATTCTTATCCAACAGTCAGACATTACCTGCAAAACAATTTGTTTGCACGGCGTTGGCAGACACTACGCAGTGGCACGTCGAGAAGTTGGCCGCCGCCGGACTCCAAACTCCTCTTCACCGGTGAGAAGTTGAAGCTCGAAACTCGAATCAATGGCTTTTCCTTCCTGGTTTTCTCGCTTCCGTTCCTCCTACAAGTGCTTCTACCACTCCTTCTTCCGCGGTGCTCAAACTGCCGCCATTGCGAACACTTCTACCTCTCGGAACGGCGGCCGCCGATTCTTGTCCCGGTCGGCCTTCGTGATTCCTTGCGCTCTTGCGTCTGGTTCGGTTGCGTTTCAGTTTGGCTTCCAGTCTAATCCGTCGCTCTGTGACGCCTCTGATGCTCACGATCGGTGCGTACTGCGTAACCTTTTTGTCGATCTCTTTACTTTTTGTTGTACCGGTGGAGCTGCGCTGCATTGAAGAACGAGTTTCTGGTTTTGTTTGTATAAATTGGTTTATCTGTTTGGATTGGCTTGTAGTCAAAGTATGAAAGATCTACGTTACTTGTTTTTAACATCAGATCATTCGTATCATCAAACTTTGAGATGACAAGCTTTAGTACCGAAACGTGTAGTTAGTCAGTTCTTAGTGTTCGGTAGCTGAGATGAACGATTTGTCCTGATTAATTGATTTACCTTAATATTTTCATTTTTCTTGTTGTCGATCACATGAAAAGGGAATGGTTTGGCTTGTGCTGCTTTTTATATTCTATAGTTTTCTTAGAAACTAAAACAGATGTGTGATTTGGTAACTTTTTACTTATAATGTTTAGGATATTTTATTATTTTTTTAATGTTGTTTTGATGACTTCGTTGTCGCCATGAAATTTTTTAGGAGGAGTAAGGGCTTAGTCTTACTACTCGTGATATCTAAAACACAGAAATTCATGGCTCTGTGATTGTGATTGACAAATATAATATTCCTCCCTGGTTAAACTGCTAAATGACAAATATAACGCTAATTTATGATTGTGATTGCTTCTGAAAGCTTTTAGTAGTTTGGGTTCTGTAAAGACTTGCAGGGATATTGAACATCAATTGATTATGATCCGCATTTCTGGATCCAGAAATCTCAGCTTTGGGGGCAAAGGTAGCACCGAGTATGTTGTCAAAGGCTCGCCCAAAGACGTTTCACAAGCTTTTATTAATGAACTGGGGAGAATTTGTCAAGTATTATTTGATATTTCTGATTTATTTTTCATTTTCCGAAATCTTATAGAAGGAAGGAAACACCTAACATAATATATTTTGATGTATTGAGCTTCAAAACGTGGATTTCTCCATCTGCTTAACATGAATCATGGTGATATTTGTTTCTCAGGATAACATGACATTAGATTATGAGGAAAGGTATTTCCATGGAAAACCACAAAATAGCTTTCACGCAGCAGTTAATATCCCTGATGTGGTTGTGTTTCCCAGGTTAGATGAAATCTCATCTTTTCCATTTATCATTATTTTTGTTACTTATTTGTTGGTTTGAGTCTTGCACTATGTGCCATTTGGTATTTTATTTTCTTTTAAATATGGTGCAGTTTTTCTGTTTCCCTTATTAACTCTCTAGCTTTCATAGTTTGTCAAGTTGACAATTGTGTTCCACACGTACCACAAAAACAAAAAGAAAAGAAAACTGAAACACTGCTGGTTTCTTAAAATTTAAAGGCTTTATATGTACCTGGAGCTTGTAAGCATTAGCAATCAACAAACAAAAMATATGTAATATTATTATACTGGCCTGTTGTCTTGGTTCTTATATGGTCTTAAGGCGATTGAAGTTCATGATGATAACTATGTTCAAGGTGATACGGTGAGGCAGGGCAAGCAAACAGTGCCTGCAGTTACTCATGGTGGGCACTTTCTCTTAGAAGACCAACTTGGTCACTTTTTCTTGACTTTCTAACCCAAGTGAGTTAAAGACATTCTTTAAAGACTGGTCATTTTGAAGTAATTGGGGTGTCCGAAAATTTAAGATTTCTAATAATATGGATGCTTGATTTTTTCAGTAAGCTATCATTTTCAGAAACTTGGCAAAATTATGCATAATGAGTAATAATTGTTTGAAGAAGAAAAAATTTGATAGGCCTTGGACACAGAAGACGAACTTTCATTGATCAATAACTCCAACGGTTAATTCAACTAATATCCCCATTACACTCACTTCGCTCCCTTCTTATTTAGCTTAATTAGTTGCATCAACTAACAAACTCCTTTACATTCCACATGACTAGCTAACACCTCTACTCAAATAAAGATACGTGGATCCATCAGCTTTTTCTGTATGGTACCCATGGTTACTTTCTTCCTCCGCTTATATGTCAAATGTGTGGGTTGGGAGCCTATAAAAAGTAAGGCTTCAAGAAACCGCTCTTTCATCTAGGTAGAAAGATGGAAATTAAGCTTCAAAAGAAGTTGCCGACTTCCAAGTAGCTTATGCAACAAGCATTGCTTCCCATTTTAATAAGAACTTTCAAGATGCAGCCTGTGAATACGAAATACTCAGTTAGGTTCTAAAATGAATTCCAATGAGGTAGTGAGCTGAGGTGGTAGGATGGATGATGGCAGAGTGGTGCCTGCTGCTCGTCTTAGCTGAGAAATATGGAAAATTGGATGGATTATTGAATCTTTAGTACACATACTTAAGGTTCAAAGTCTCGTTATCAGATTTGTTAAACAAAAAATAAAAGGACCAGAACAGTCATCTTTTTAAAATTTAGGGACTAAAATAGACATTTTGTTTTGCTTTTTTTTTCTCTCTTTAAAAAAAGAAGCCAAACTTTCAGAAGCATGAAAGAATACAATGGGATACAAAAAAATAACCCAACAAAAGAGCTCGAACCTAAAGGAAATTATTCCAATCCAAAAGAATAATACCTAATCGATAATTGCAAAAATAGACATTTTGAAAATTCAAAGACTAAAATGGAACAAACTTGGAACTTTGGGTATGAAAATGAAGATTTTGAAAGTCCAGAGACCAATGGAGTTTAGACCTTAAATATACTATAAATAGATTTGAATGAGGAATTTGTTGGCCATGAGTGAGGGAGTGCATGAGAGTTAGTCAACTGTTGTAACAAATTTAGGTAAATTAGGGGGGGAGGAGAGGGAGAATAATAGAGATATGAGTTGAACTTAGGTGTAAGCAACACATGCTCATTCCTTTTGGTTTATGGTAGAGATCCTCTTCTATTCTCTCATAGTTTATAGATGGTTCGTTGTTTTAGTTGCAGACCAGCAATTAAGAGCAGTGAGATGCTAGTTGAACTAAAAACACCTGTGCACTGTGCACAAAAAAATGGTGTGAGTGCCAAAATGGTTATCCTTAGACATTATGGAAGTTTAGAGATTAAAATAGTCAATTTTTTTATTTTTATTTTTAAGTTCAAGGATTAAAATAGATAGTTTAAAAGTCTGTGACCAAAATGGAACAAACCTAAAATTTTAGGAACCAAAATGGGACAAGGCTATATTGAAAAAGATAACACCTTTGAGAAGCACTTTCAGACTCTTAGCTCCTTTCTCAGTTTTCCAATTTTCAAAGCATGTCATCATCAACTAATTACCAATCATCAATTAAATATTTAAATTTTGAAGTATATATCTCTCTAATTAATATTTAAAGCGAGCATAGTTCAACGGTAATTGATATGTATTATGGAATAATGCAATTTAATTTAAATGGTCTATAATTTGTGCAAGTTAATGCATCATGATTTGTAAATTTCAGGTCTGAAGAGGAAGTTTCTAAAATAGTAAAATTATGTGACCAATATAAGGTTTGTGTTTCCCTTATATTATAACAGTGCCCTTCCTTTCTATTTTCTGTTTGATGGTTACCAAACTTTGATTTATGGTAGCTGGATGTTTGATATATATTTCTTCTTGAAGAAAGTAGTATAATTTAAGCATAATAGGACGGACACCTTAAATATTGCAATGAATCTCATCACTGCTATTTGGCCTTCTTAAGTGTGTAAAACTGGTTTTCTTTATCTTGTACAGGTACCTATTGTACCATATGGGGGAGCTACATCTATAGAAGGCCACACATTGGCACCTAATGGAGGCCTCTGCATAGATATGTCTTTAATGAATGTATGTTTTGGGCCATGTCTTTAATTACTAATGTGCTTCATTTTATTATATATATTTTATTTTATTTTATTATTATTATTCTTTTTTGAAGAGAAACATGATATTTCATAGATCAATGAAATATACAACAAAAGAAAAGGAGGGAAGCCATCCCTAGCGAAATGAGGTTTCAAAAAAGCCTTCCAATTGGCCGAAATATAAGAATATTTTGTTATACCTTTATTTGTTTAGATGGATGAACTGAGATGTTCTCATATATGTTATAAATCTTATCTGTACTTTTTGTTTGTTTCTATTCAATGGAAAACTATCACTATAGGTAATTCTTCTTCGGATTGTGCATTATCAGCATATATCACTGAAGCATCTGAGTTAATTAATGCATTTATATTCATATATTCTGCCAAAGGTTGCTGTATATAACAGTAGAATGCATCTTACATTTGCAGAAAGTTAAAGCATTGCATGTTGAAGATATGGATGTTGTTGTTGAGCCTGGGATTGGATGGATGGAGCTTAATGAATACCTAGAGCCTTATGGTCTATTCTTCCCTCTTGATCCAGGTTACTATTGCACATGCTTAATGATGCAGTCTTGCACAATGAAATCTTGAAGAAAACTTGTTAATCCTTTACCAAAGAGGTCAGCCCTATTTATAAAGGCCGCCTTACTAACTGTTACACGGTAAAAACAAGTTACTGTGTAGTAACTTAGTAACTAACTAACAAAGCTACAACTAATTTAGAAAAGAACGTATATAACAACTAACTACCACATCAATTTTCCCCCACCCAAAAAGACAACTCGACCGCGAGTTTAAGTTGTAATGGCGAAGGAATCGGGTGGATGGTAGGTGTAAAGGTCTGCTACATTGAATATAGGGCTTATATTATACGTTGCTGGAAGCTGTAGCTTGTAAGCATTAGGACCACACCGGTCAAGTACTTGAAAAGGTCCTAGCTTCTTTTTCTTCAACTTAGAGTACGTGCCCGTAGGGAATCTACTTTTTCGCAAGTGAATCATCACCAAATCGCCTACTTGAAACTCCTTTGGTTGTCTCTTTTTATCTGCTGCTTCTTTGTACTTTATATTTGTCTTGGCAATGTGGTTACGAACCTCTTGATGTAGTTCCTTAATGCGATCAGCCATTTCCTCTGCTTCCAAGCTGGAATCAATAGATGAAGGTAAATTAGTAAGGTCTAACGTTAGTCTAGGAAGTTTAGTGTAAAATATCTCGAATGGTGACTTCCCTGTCGTTCTATTCTTCATATGGTTATAAGCCAACTCGGCTTGAGCCAACGAGAGATCCCATTGCTTAGGATGGTCCCCACTAATGCACCGAACGAGATTGCCCAAAGACCGATTTGTTACCTTCGTTTGGCCATCTGTTTGAGGGTGGCTTGTAGTACTAAACTTTAATGAGGTATCAAACTTTTTCCAAAGAGTGCGCCAAAAGTGGCTTAAAAATTTAACGTCCCGATCAGAGACTATGGATTTAGGAATGCCATGAAGGCGAACTATTTCTCGAAAAAATAGAGTAGCAATAGCTATGGCATCCGATGTTTTTTTGCAAGCCACAAAGTGTGCCATTTTGCTAAAGCGGTCAACAACCCCCATCACTGAATCATAGCCTCTTTGTGTTCTGGGTAGGCCTAACACGAAGTCTATCGATAAATCCTCCCAAATACTTTCTGGTATAGGTAAAGGCGTATACAGCCCGGTATTTTGTGTCGTGCCTTTATAGGTTTGACATGTAAAGCACTTGTGAACATAATTGGTCACATCTTTGCGGATTTGAGGCCAATAAAAGCGTGATGTAATGATGTCCAAAGTTTTATCGCGGCCTAAGTGTCCTGCAAGACCGCCCGCATGGGCATCGCGTAAAATAGCTTCTCGAAGAGATGTATGAGGGATACAAAGTGTGTTCCCTTTAAATAGATAACTGTCAACGATATGGAAGTCGTCAATAGCCATATGGTTGCTGCATTTGTGCCAAATTTCTTGGAAATCCTTGTCTTTGTCATATAGATCAGGTAAGTAATCAAAAGCAATAATTTCGCCCTTAAGGAGGGTCAAAAGGTTGCTTTTGCGACTTAAGGCATCGGCAGCTTTATTAGTAGTATCGGCCTTATGCTTAATAACAAAATCGAATCTTTGTAGAAAGGATAACCAACGGGCATGCATGCGACTAATTGTTTTTTGAGTATGCAAAAATTTTAAAGAAAAATGGTCCGTAAATAAAACAAACTCTTTACTTGAAAGGTAATGCTCCCATTGTTTTAATGCACGCACTAGAGCATAAAGTTCTTGTTCATATGTACTCCACTTTTGTCGGGATGGGCTAAGTTTCTCGCTAAAATACTCTATAGGATGATTATTTTGAGATAACACAGCCCCTATTCCTACCTCGGAGGCATCCACAGATACTTCAAAAGGGAGGTCAAAGTTTGGAAGGGCAAGGATAGGGCTTTGGCACAACTTGGTTTTTATGAGCTGAAAACTCTCTTGTTGTGGTTGTTCCCAAGAAAACTTACCCTTTTTTAAACAGTTTATCATGGGGGAAACAATGGAGCTAAAATGTCGAATGAATTTCCTATAGAATGAAGCAATCCCGAGAAAACATTGGACATCTTTCACTGTTTGAGGTTCATCCCACTCGGAAATAGCTCGGATTTTAGAGGGGTCCATTTTTACTTGATTGTGACCTATGAGGAAACCTAGAAAAGAAATTTCATTTGTGGCAAACAAACACTTCTTACAGTTTATGACTAACTTATTGGATTCTAGAGTAGAAAAAAGTAACCTAAGGTGTTCCATATGATCAGACATGTTGTGACGGTAAACAAGGATGTCATCAAAGTAAACGACAACAAACTTATTAATAAATGGAAGCAATACCTGGTGCATGAGCCGCATGAATGTGCTAGGGGCGTTAGAGAGTCCAAATGGCATAACGAGCCATTCAAACAAACCTTCGTTTGTTTTGAATGTCGTTTTCCACTCATCGCCCGGCCGAATGCAAATCTGGTGGTAGCCACTCTTAAGATCAACTTTAGAAAAAATGGTAGCGCCCCACAATTGATCGAAAAGTTCAGTTATTCGCGGGATAGGGAACCGATATTTAATTGTTATTTTGTTTATCGCCCTGCTATCCACGCACATACGCCAAGTGCCATCCTTTTTAGGGGTTAACAGTGCGGGAACCGCGCAAGGACTAAGGCTTGGCTGAATATGTCCTTTCTGAAGTAATTCCTGAACTTGTTCATGTAGGATCTTATACTCTAAAGGGCTCATGCGGTAATGTGCCAAATTAGGGAGCGTAGCTCTTGGAAAGAAATCAATATTGTGTTGAATGTCCCGAAGAGGGGGCAATCCGGCTGGTGCGTCCATAATAGAACTAAAGTTACTCAACAGATTTTGGATCTCTGGGTTACAATCGTTGCCTCCCTTATTGGTACCAAAGTCTTTTATTACTTACCCGATTATAGGTTCTTTAGGATGGATCAACAGTTGTTTGGCCGATGTAACTGTAAACAAGCTCCCTTTCCCTTTATCACTATCCTTTAATGGAATAGATTTGGAGGGATTGACAGGGAGGAGAACGACCTTTTTCCCCATCCATTGGAATTCGTAGGTATTATCCCGACCCTTATGTAGAGCTTGTATATCAAACTGCCAAGGTCTCCCTAAGAGGACATGACGAACATCCATGTCTAAGACATCACATACAATTTGGTCCTTATAAGTGGCACCAATGGACAAAGTTACGGCACAGGTATGAGTTACTTGTGCCTCACCCCCTTTTTTGATCCAAGAAACTTTATAAGGGGCGGGATGAGGTGATAAAGGTAAATGTAATGCGGTAACCAACTTACTAGCAATTATATTTTCAGTACTGCCGCTGTCAATAATCACATTGCATATTTTCCCATTTATAGTACATCTAGTTCTAAAAAGAGCATGTCGTTGATAAGGGATTTCTAACTTAGGAGCTAACAATACCCGTTGAAGAACACAAGAAACGATGTCACCATCATTAGGGGCCGCATAATCAACCTCATCATCCATGTCCTCACTGCTGTCCGCTTGTATCACATCCTCATCTACCATATTGACTAACTTCCGTTGAGGACATTCGTTGGATAAATGCCCTGTTTGTCCGCACCTAAAACATTTACCCAACGTAGGCCGATTGTAAACATTCCCCTGTTTCTTCCCCGCCATCACATCAGTTTTGTTAGTTTTAGCTAAATCAGTGTCCATGTGTTTACCTTTGGTTGTGGCAGAGGCACGGTGGGGAGAGGGAAAGTTTTCACCCGTGGTGGTAGTCTTTTTAGATGTCCCTCCTTGTTCCCAATTAGTTCTGCGGGAGTACTGCTTCTTAAACCGATTACCCACTTGTTCTTCAATCGTTGTGGCAGTGGAGATTGCCTCATTGAGATAGCCAATCGGTTGGAGGGTAATCTGTTCTTTAATGTCCGAATGCAATCCCCCGATGAATCGTGCCACGAGATGTTGTTGGCCTTCCAACAAATTCGTTCGGGCGCCCAATCGGTGAAATTCCTCGGAATAATCTGCAATAGATCTTGATCCCTGTCTACAATTTTGATATTGGTTACATAAAACTTGTTCAAAATTGATAGGGAGGAAGCGTTCCCGCATGAGTTTTTGTATTCACTATTATCTTGGTTTCTATTCGGGTTGGGATACCTACCATACCTTTCCCTTTCAAAGGCGAGAAGTTCATCTTCCTCCTCGCTTGAAGAATCGATATTGATCTCACGTCGCTGTTGAAATAGAGGATTCTGGTTTACTCAGTGTTTTCGAGGCGCACCCAGGCGAGCGCCTCAAGCGAGAGGCGAGGCGATTTCGCCTGGGAGCGCCTTAAATGGTGCCAAGGCGAGCGCCTTCGACCGGGCGCTCGCCTTGGTGYGCCTCCCTGCGCCTGGGYGCGCCCTCGCCTTATGACGAGGCGAGCGCCTCGTTGAAGCGAGGTGTTTCACGCTGCTTTTTTTTTTCTTTTTATGTTAAAAACCCACGAAAAACAACCCTGAAAACCGAATATCCACAGCCAAAAATCAAAATACCCACACTCGAAAGGCTTTTTCCTTCGCTGTGTCCACCACTTTCGTCCTTGTATTATAAGTTTTTCGATTTTTCTCTTCGATTCTTCCTATGTTTGCTTCAATTCTTCTTCAATTATTCAATTCTTCTTCGTCAATTCTTTAATTGAGAAAAGAACCAAACAATAGAAGAATTAAAATTTAAGAAAGAAAAGAACCAAACAATAGAACAGTAGAAGACAAAGAAGAAGAGTTGGAGAAAAAGAAGAATCAAGGAAGAAGTTGGAGAGTAATGGAAGAAGAATCAAAGAGAAATTTGAAAAACCTGCAAATTGAAATCATGTCGCTTCAGTTCTTCTCACCTTTTCTTTTTTTACATTTCCAAGCCGCTCTCCTTTTCTTTTTTTATATTTCCAAGCCACACTAAACAAGTGCTAGTGCTAGAAAATTTACACCTGCAATAAAATTGCCATTTGGTGGCAACACTTACCAATGACAATAAGCACTCCCTACTTTAATGTATGGTTTAATTTAAATACAAATGTTTTTATATCTTTCTATCGAACCACTGTCTACTATTTTTTTTTTTATAATTTATATTTTTAATTTTTCTTAAATATTTGAACTTAAGTTTTTAATTTTTCTTAATTATTTAAGTTAAACTTTATTTGCACATTAAATGGTTGTACAAATATTTGCATCTAGAGTATTTTATTTTTTACTAAAATTACTATAGATAATATTTATTTATTATTTTATTAAGTGCGTCTCGCTTCAGTCAGGCGTCGCCTTTTTATCGCCTCTCGCCTCAAGGCGATCAAAGGACTTGTCGCCTTGAGGTGCGCCTTGCGCCTCGAAAACACTGGGTTTACTTCTTGATGGAAATGTCTTTGTTCTTGGGTGTTTCTTGGACCTAATCGGATTGTCTGTGGTCTTCTTGATTCCTTCTTTCTTGCTGCACTGCAGCTTCACGAACCGGGGTCTGTTGCATACTCAAAGCCTCAAGTTTCTCATGTATGATCTCCAAGATGTGTTTAATCTCGCCTACATCCAGTTGGATGGTTTTCACCTCTCCTTCAACCGACAGCAAGCGCTCGGTTGACGATCGTGGCGAGAGAATGGAGGCTTGCTCCATTTCTTTGTTGACGAGGGAAGAGTCACCGGTATTAACTGACTTCTTTCCCGCCATTGGGTGCCCAGAATTTGGGTGCTCTGATACCAATTGATGCAGTCTTGCACAATGAAATCTTGAAGAAAACTTGTTAATCCTTTACCAAAGAGGTCAGCCCTATTTATAAAGGCTGCCTTACTAACTGTTACACGGTAAAAACAAGTTACTGTGTAGTAACTTAGTAACTAACTAACAAAGCTACAACTAATTTAGAAAAGAACGTATATAACAACTAACTACCACATCACTTAATAATATCTATCATATCTACTCTCGATTTTTTTTAGCAATATTCTACATTAATGGGGAAGGGAGGGAGTTTCTTCTTCTCTTATGCTTTCTAATCTATACACAATTATTTCTGTTATTCTGATAATGTCTGAATTCAGATGAGGCTAGCATGATAAGAGAGTGTAAGATAGATAGAGAAGTCTTTCATATCAATTGTTGCAGTGTTAAGTGATTCAGGTAAGGATTTAAGACAAGAAGAACCAAATTCCCTTAATGGGAGGTTACTTCTGAAAGCAAATAGGAAAAAGATTCCCTTAATGGGAGGTTAAACAAGGGAGGTTACTTCTGAAAGCAAATAGGAAAAATATTCTTACTTGGCGGTAGCCAAAAAGTCAAGTGAAGAAGATTTCTAAGGAGGTGGTGCATGTAGATTGGGATACAACTTCGGTGGTAGTTAGAAGATTCTTTCATGACGAGTGGCATAAGATTTTGGAAAGCATTCAGAACCTAGCAAAAGATGTGTGTTGAACTCTTTCTGCCTTGATAAAGCTTTCCTCGAGTGTTGAGAAAACCTAGTAAGATTACAAAGTATGAAGTCTTCTTTGTGAGATTTATCCAAAGTGATAATAGATGGGAGTGTGGGCATTCTTCGAATGACTTAAATTTAGAAACCTCTAAATTTATGGAGAAGAGAGGTTTTTCTAAAGGATTGGAAAGATATGTAGTGGCTTTATGACATCATGGTGATGTTCTCAGTTTATTTTTTCCCCTTAATGGAGGCATAAACGCAAGCCTCAATGAGACCTACATTTGTTTCATCCCCAAAAAGAAAGACACAAAACCAGTTCAGGACTTCCACCCAATCAATCTTATCTCGTGTGCTTACACTTACACCATTCTAGCAAGAATCAATCCTAAGAAGCAGGGAACACGACACGGACATGGCGACACGCCAATTTCTAAAAATGTAGGATATGGACATGTTGGGCATACGTAAATTAAAATTTTTTTTTTTAGAAATATGTGTATAAATTGACGCAGTAATATTTCTAAATTAAAAAAACCAAACCTAGTTGTATAAACTTTGGGAGCGAAGATAATTGGAGGTGGAGGGAGGCGAAGTGAAGGTAGAGAGAGAGACGGAGAGCGATCAGGCAAGGAGAGGAGAAACTCTCCTTTGTTACTGTCATGGTTTTTCTTTTTAGGTTTTTTTTTAAATATTTTTTTTAAGTTATAACTTTTTATTTATTTTTTATTCTTAGTGGGTATGCTTAATGGGGCTGAGCTTTTGTTTTTCATTTGATTTAATGTTTCTTTTGAACTAAAAAAAAGTGTGGCATGTCCACTACGTGTCCCCACATGTCTGCCACGTGTCCGAAATTAAAAAGAAAAAAGAACTAGACACGCCTATTTTGCGTGTTGGACACGTGTTCGAAGCGTGTTTGTGCCTGAAGACAAAGTGTCAATGCTTCCTAAGTTCTATCAAAGGGGGATTAAAGTGGCATCCCCACACAATCACTAATTTTCAATAAGCCTTTGTGGAAAGAAGAATCGATTTATTCTTGATGGATCGCTCATTGCAAATGAGATTAATGACAATTGGAAAGAAAGGAAAGTTGAATGAGCAGCGATCAAGCTGACCTAGAGAAGACAAGGTGGACTGGGACTTCTTTGACACCATCCTTTACCATAAAAGCTTTGACAAAAAATGAAGGAATTGGATGCTTGCTTGCATCTCTTGGACGAGCTTTTCCATCATCATACATGGAAACCTAGGGGCAAGTTTACGGCATCTAGCGGTATTAGATAGAGAGTTATTTTGTATATTTCTTATCATCAATGAAATATTTGTTTCTTACCCAAAAAAGATATATATGTGTGGCAGTTTTAACCAAATGTTCTAGATGAAATTTAACTCAGGTGAGATAAAGGCTTACAACGTATAAAATTGTTTTCTCCTTGTTTACAATCTCCTATCCAAATCACATTACAGAAGCTTCTTAACTTCAGTATTTTTTTGTACCATATATTCCTGTCTGCTTTAGTATCCAAAATTTCTAACAGTTCTCTTAATGGTCGGTGAACTTTTTACATCATATTTCTATTTTGGTCCTCTTCTATAATTGGATTCTCATGTTATTTGAAACTGTCAATATCAGGCCCTGGGGCAACAATTGGGGGTATGTGTGCCACACGATGCTCTGGTTCACTTGCTGTGAGGTATCAGTCTCATTTCTTTTTCTCAAACTTTTAACATACATTAAAGCATTTGCATATTTTTTAGGTTTAACCATTTAGCTTACAATTTGAAAATGAGCGTTTGAAAAGAATTATAAATAAGAAAAGTTAAGTTGCATTTAGAAACTTTTTAGAATTTGGACTTGCATCGGTTACGAGCAATCAACTATTAAAATATTAGTAAAGGCGCCTCCGCTATCCTAAATATGATTCCGTTCCGTCAGTCTAAGACTGAACTTTGGTTTCCCCTATTCTGGGCTGGTTTTGGCACAAAGAACCTCTCCAACGAGAGAGATAATAATCTTCATCTTTTGTAAGACCCTGCAACATAGGGTTGCCAAGAAATACTAGGATTTCATCCTAGATAGCACCATAGATTTGAATCCTTGCCCCAAAGTCCAAAAACCCTAAGAGACCCTTTCTTTGTCCTAATGCCACTGGGCCAACCCATTTTCAAAACTTAAGAATTTAAAAAATATCTGTAGTTCCTTATAGAGTTTTAAATGTATTTATATTTTAATTACTTTTATTCTTACTTTAATATTTTAAATGAGTAAATTTTCAATATTTAATTAAATTCATACAATACATGTAATATTAATTAAAGTCACCGTATTTTGTAAAAAAACTTCTTTTTACAAAATTTTCAGCAAGAGACAGCCTCCCTCTCTCTTCTAAAATGAATTTATTCCAAGTTTCTTATTAAAAAAAAAAAGAATTGTATATGAAAAATTGTTTGCATAATTTTCTATTTTGGTAAATGGATATTCTCTTTGTTCGTTGTCTTTTAGAGATAATACAATATTTATGGTTCATGATACCTTCGTACTTTACTCCATTTTATCTAATCAAACGTTGGAGTTAGTTGTTTCTACTGAAATTAATGATTATTTTATTAGGTAGGTATGGTACCATGCGCGACAATGTCATCAACCTTAAGGTTTGATTATTTCTCCATTAGGGTCTTTGTTGGATAAAGAATGCCACCTTGCTTATGTTGGATGTATTACAGGCAGTCCTTGCCAACGGTGAAGTTGTCAAGACGGCATCTCGTGCTCGAAAGAGTGCTGCTGGGTTTGTTTTTCTTTTCTTTTCTTTTCTGTTTGTTTTTTGAACTAGTGTTATTAATCCAATCATTGATTTGTAATATATGCATACACACCTTTAAAAAATTCCGTATGTATGCACGAGCCTATTGGTATATTTATTTTATTCTATCTTTCCCTTAGACATTCTCACGTAGGTGATGTGACAGAAACTGCTAGTAGAAGAGAGGAAAATCTTGAGACATTTTTATGTGACAAACCTTGTTTTTGGTCTAAGAAGCCCTAATGCTTAGGTGTTTTTTAATTTAGTCCCTATCATTTAAAAAGTTTTAACTTTAGTCCTTTTATCTTATAATATTTTTCAATAAACCCTTCCAAGTCGGTGAATGTTAAAATCGACCAATAATAAGCATATATTACGTGTTGTTCAAGTCACTTGACAGATATTTAGAGAAGGAATTAGGTCACTTAAAAGAATAAAAGTCGTACATTATGTGTTTGTATAGTTATGTGTCTCTTTTTTTATCTAGAAATCCCATAACCATCATTGCTCACGAGGATATTTCCCTGAGCTTACAGTATTTGGTACTCAAGGAAAGCATGGGGATAATTTATATCTCAGGCTGGTGACCCTTAGGATTTTGAACTCTACTTGGTTGGATCCTTGGGGTTTTTGTTAGGCCTCCAATAGTAAAGACTTATTCTAGAAAGGGTAGAAGGGGACTTGTACTGGGGCAAAAGAGTAATGTAATGCCAGGGAATAACGGTTTGGGGTTGTGGGTCCCAGGGAGAGAGAGTAATGCCACGAGGAGTAGAAAAAGAGCGTGTAGGAGGAGGGGAGGATCATCTGGCTTTTGAGTGCGTAAAGGTAGCTAGGGAGAGATTACCCACCCTCTCGAATTGGTGGGGTGAATTGTATTGCCTACAAAAGTGAGGAGAAACCTCACAGTTTTTAAACTGAGTTTACATTGTCATTTCTTTGAATTTTAAACTGAGTTACATAGTTTGAATCATAGGTATGATTTGACCCGTCTGATGATTGGAAGTGAAGGAACTCTTGGTGTAATAACTGAAATCACTCTTAGACTTCAGAAACTTCCAAAGTATTCAGTGGTACCTGTCTCCCCCCTCTCTCTCTCATGCACTCCCTTTAACACACACACACTTAGAGGCATTTTTCTTCCTAGTTCCAACTTCTGAATTGCTTTGTTTGTGTCATTCTGCCTTGCAATCAGATCCATGTGTATGGCATGTATCTAGATGTTTAATCACCACTATTAAGAAATTCATTTTAACTTTTAAGCTTTATATTAAGAAAAGCTTAAGCATGTTTGGTACTGCATCCTGCTTTTTATTTTTGTAAGTTTGTTTGTTTGCTTCACCAGGGGGTATATTTTTACTGCCAGTTATTCTAAAAATAATTTTGCGCCCCTTCAATATCATTTTTTTAATATAGTCTTATTTTCTCATGTCGGAAAAAAAAAGCATACGTGTAATGATTGAAAAGGTTGTTACCTGTCAAAAAATCCAGCCAATTAAGTTAAATTCCCTGTTTTGGAATGATAATCTTTGATTTTCTTACATCCTTCTTCGTCAGAGTTCTTTTGGAAACGGAAAGTAGAACGTTTCATTGTAAATACACTTTCTAAGAATTTCAAAATGATAAGAAATGAACTTCAGGGGCAGTGGATGCAAAATGACATATTTATTAATGCTAGATCATATATGTTTTTTGACTCCCTCGGAGTTTGTCTTCTGCTCATTTACGAAATATTCTAACATAATTCTTAGTTTAAGGTTTAAACTAATTAATAATTTTAAGTGAAATTTCATGATTAAGCTTAAATGTTGCAGGTTGCAATGTGTAATTTTCCTTCTATTAAAGATGCAGCAGATGTTGCTATTGCGACAATGTTGTCTGGTATACAGGTACACCTCTAGTGGTGGTTATTTTTTTATTTTTTATAATTTTTATTTTGGTTTACCGCATTGAATTCTGAGTCTCCTCCATGCCTGTTTAGGTATCAAGAATGGAGTTGTTAGACGAGGTTCAAGTGAAGGCTATCAATAATGCTAATGGAAAGAATTTGCCTGAAACTCCCACACTAATGTTTGAATTCATAGGAACAGGTTCACACATCTCCTCGAGTACAGATATTGGCATATTGCTTTCTTTTGTTTTTTCTATATTCATTATAGACATAAGGCACTTGATTGCTGTTTTTATCAGACTGTCTAGTGCTTCCCTCTTTCTGCAGATTCATTACAAATTGTATTCATTTATTTTTTTCTGGCATTCAGAGGCATATTCACGTGAGCAAACAAAAATTGTTCAGAAGATAGTTTCTGAACACAATGGCTCAGATTTTGTCTTTGCTGAAGAACCAGAAGCCAAAAAAGAACTTTGGAAGGTACTATTTACAAGTCTGTTTCCTTTGAACAATTTTGTTATTAATGGATTGGAAGTTCGTATCTTGTTAAAAAAAAATTACAATGTATAGTGACCTACTCTTTCTTGTTTAGGTCGTATGTTTTATTTGCCCAAAAACAACTCTAAATTTTTAGTTATTTATTTGACCCTTGAAATGGCTTCTCAAGCCCTTGCTTTCTAACCCTTGAAATGTTGGGGCCAAAATTAGATAGAAGGATCTGATTGAATAGTAACTCCAGTTTCTCTTCCAATTGTATACGTTTTACTTGGGTTGTTACCCGTGTTACACACACTCCACCATAAAATAAAATTTTCAACTTCCCCCCTTCCGCTCCTGTTCATTTTTAGCAGGGGAAGAATGAGTTTTCTACCACAGAATGAGTATTTAATAGAAGTCTTACAAACACTTATTTGACCAACCCCATGGTTTTTAAGCGAGATTCCTGTAAGAAATTTGATCCAGTTACTTTTTATATGATCATTTCCATGCCATGCAGATAAGGAAGGAGGCACTATGGGCATGCTTTGCATTAGTACCCCATTTTGAGGCAATGATCACGGTCTGTAAATATCACTGTATTTACACAAGTTTTTAAGTTTTATGCTCTTTTAGTTGGACGTTTTTCTCTACACCTTGCTAGAATCTGTATACTAGTTTTTATCCCAAAATTTCTCTTTTCACTTATAAATAGTTTATAATAGTATACTTCCATTCTGGGATAAAAACTAGTATACAGATTGGGGTATAGTTTTCTTCCTTTCAGAAAGGAAGCAGTGAAATTCCGTAGATGGGAAGAGAACCATACCTCAATCATCTTGAAAGATGGTGTTTATAATTGTTTCCTTTCTGAAATATCGCCCATTTTGCGCTTTGTGATATCTCCTAGTATTTATTTGTTCAATGACAATGATCTGAAATTATTTTACCATTTATTTATCTGTTGCAGGACGTATGTGTTCCGCTATCTCACCTGGCAGAATTGATATCAAGTTCTAAACAAGAGCTGGATGCATCACCGCTTGTTTGGTACGTCTTTTCTGTCGCGTTAACTGTTTCTTCCCTCCTCTCCTGGGAACTACTGACTAGTACCTTAACGCGAGTAGTACCTTAACGCGTGTGAGAATAGGAGTTTCTATTTTGTAATATAATATATAACAAGTTTTAAGTACATTCCATCAAGCTTCTAATGACTTATAGCGTGTTAGCTAATAGTATGTTTGGAATGACTTTCAATTTTTTTTTTTAAATAAAACTACTTTTTCTACCCATACTTTTAGGAGGATTATTTATTATGAGTGTGTTTAATATAGTTTCCTGATTGTTTTTAGATAACTAAATTTCATTTTAAAAATACTCTAGTGTTTGGTAGAGATAAAAAAAGAAAATTTTTTAATAAATTAGTTTGCTTCAAAATCTATTTTTGAAGAAACACTTGAGGGATGATTATCCGAAAAGATTGACACTATCGTAAAAAGGTGCTTAAATTAAGGGTCGTACCAAACTCGCCTTAAGGTGAAAAAGTCAATCTAAGCTATGTCGAGTAGATAAAACACCTAATATCATCTAAGGATCAATGGTTCGATCTCCACCCTGTATTTTTTAATTCTAGAAAAAATTGGGTTAAGCGTGTAACTTTTTACATTTTTTTAATGTATTAGGCAGGAGTTGGCAATTTTATTATTAATAATATATAAATTGTTACAATATTAAAGTATTCTATTATAAATGCTAATAATCATTTATACTTATATTTTATTTTTTTAATAAGTTGTAAAATAATAGAAAATAACGTTTGTAATTGTTGTTTGTCATTTTCAGTGAAATAAAATATTTATTTGATTAAAAGATTTAAAGATCACTAATGAATAGTTGTCATTAGACTCATAACTTTGAAATTTATTTTTGAATGGCGAAGAATTAACATAGTTAAAATGTTTACTGAAGTTCACTATAACTATATTGAAGTTACTCAAATGAAGTGACATATTTGAAATTTTTTTAAGTTGGTAGTGGACAAAATGGTTTTAAACGATTTTACAACATTTTTCTAAAAGATTTAAGATTATTTGGGTTGATTTATCAAACTAATGCTGTACAAATTTATATGGCTGTATATATTTTGCTCACAACAGCACAGTCATTGCCCATGCTGGTGACGGGAACTTTCACACAGTGATTCTGTTTGATCCAAACCAAGAAGAACAACGGAAAGAAGCAGAGAGACTCAACCATTTAATGGTTTATAAAGCATTGTCAATGGAAGGTACTGTTTTTCTTCCTTTTATTTATTTTTTACTTCATTGGATGAGCAAGTTTTGCTTGCGCTCCAATATTTGTAATGGCTCATTTCTATTCGTGTTTTCTTTTTCTTTTTTTTTTGTGATACAACGTGTGTGGTTGGAGATATATGTCAATTACCGCTGAGCTATGCTCGCTTTGGCTATTCGTGTTTTTTTTTTACTAATCTTTTATTAAAAATATCTAGAGGGAGCCAGAGGGAGCCGTTGATGAATCTAACCGGAGCCCAAACCTCCCCTTAAAACTCTCCACACCGACCATACTCAGCCGGTTTGAATAAAATGTCAGTGAATTAAATCTTATTAAATTTAAAAAAAAAAATTGTTGATCGGTCTGGTTTTGGTCATTTTTTATCAGTTTTGGTTTGACAGTCTGGTCGGTTTCTATGTGATTTTCAATCTCCTTAAATTTGTAGATTGGTTTTGCTACTTTTGCATCAGTTATGGCCAGAAATCGAATCAAACCGAATAATTTATCAGATTTTCCTTCTGGTTATCTCAATAGCTTGCTGAATTTTTCTTTGTTTCAAAATTTGAATCAAATTTCAGACCATGTGTCTAAAGATGGTTTTCTTTTGTCAATTAATGAGCAGGAACATGCACTGGCGAACATGGGGTTGGTACAGGAAAAATGAAGGTATTTCTTTAACTCGTAAGCCTTTAGTTGCAAAATTACTTCCAAAATTACTTCCTTGTAACTTTACATGAAATCATCATCATACATAAGAGGTGAAAATAACAATATCTATAGTGTACTATATAAAATATATATATATATATTAAAATTTTTCACCAAATGATCAAAAAATTTCTGCTGAGATATTTGGGAATATATATTTCCAGTTAAGAGTGCGTTTGGTAATCATTTAGAGTTTGTTTAATAATGATTTTGTTTTTGAAAATTAAACTTATAATCACTACTTACGTCAATGTGTTTCTTTGATTTGTTATCTTCTATTTTAAAACATTTTCAAAATCTAAGCCCAAATAGTTTTTAAAAACCTTCTTTTGTTTTCAAAATTCGGGTAGGAAGTTAATTGTGTTTTTAAGAGAGTGAAACTGTGCCAAAGAAATTATGAGGAATTGTGAAGAAATAAGCATAATTAACGTAAAACTGAAAACAAAAGGGTTATCGAAAATGCCCTTAGTTCCTTATTTCATATTTCTTAGATGTAGTTTCTTTGAATCATTGCCAAAATTTTTACGGTTAAATATATTTTTTAGTCCTGAATTTCTTGGCGTTGCCAATTTTAACAATATAGCCACGTTCATTTAAAATGTTTCAATTTTGTCCAGACATTAACAACATTTTTCAATCATACTTTTTTTCTGAGTGAACGTTGATTAGTTGATTTTTACTCTCTAAGATAATCTAATTCTTCATCTAAATTTAGTGTCATATCGTATAAATTTGTCAATAAGTATTTTAACATTCACCAATGAGAAGAATATAACTGGAAAACAATAAAATATAAGGGATTAAGTTGAAACTTTCCAAACAATAAAGACTAGACTGAAAAATCTCTCGAAGATTAGTAACTAAAACATATATTTTTCATCCGACAAATGTTATCAAAACTAATAAAAATAATGATTTTTTTTTCTTTTTGGAATGACATGCAGTATCTGGAAAAAGAACTTGGAATGGAGGCACTGAGGACAATGAAACGAATAAAGGCAGCGTTGGATCCCAACAATATTATGAATCCAGGAAAGCTCATCCCTTCCCATGTTTGTTTCTGAAAATTTTCATTCTATCTATCTGGATCCACATGCATATCTCTCACTCTAACAACATCTCTTAAATTAGCATGTTTGTTAAACAAGTGTTGAGAATTGTACTGAGTTTTGAGATAGACTTGAAATGAAATCATATCTCTAATCGGGGTCGATCTTTAGTTGAAGTATCGTTTAGCAGAAATTTTTGTTCCTTCTACTACTATAGGTTAGCACTCGTGCAATGCAGGTGATTTTTTTTTGAAGTTTAAAATGAATTATTGATAATTAGGGTCTTAAACATCGATATCAATAGAAATGTCTATGTCTCAATTTTATGGAAACGTTGAGGAAAATATTTCATCCATCATAATTGATTAACTGGAACAACTCAAATTAGGACTTATCTAATAAAACAAAAGAGGAGTTTCTTTGGTTGACATAGTAACCTCAATAGTCAGTTTTGATGAGTTTTTTTTTTAAATTAAAATTAGGGATTTAAACATATATGGTGCGATTTGAAAAAATATTTACAAAATTAATCTAAACTCTGCTCACTAAGGTTTTTTTTTTCTTGTATATATTTATGAAGACAAAACATCAAAATCTTATTTTATTTGAAAACAAATCAGTTAGATTCATTTTATAGCAGAATTAAAAGAAAATATAAATGTAGTGGCTAGAAATATCAGTTTTGTGGCAACATGAATATAACTCAGCAGTAAAATTGTCTTACTCCTCCCATGGAAGTTCGTTTAACCTCCCACCTCTACATTTTTTTGTTGTAAAAAATAAAATTAGATTTGCAGATATTTTCAAAATTTCGTAAGTCTGTAAACTCTTGTTGAAGATGATGAGGATTTTGTGAAAATTGAAGTTCTCTCCTTCCATCAACCAATCACCGAGAAAGTACATTGCTATGCTATACTTGTTAGGGCCGTTTAACATCCAATGTGTATGGAAGAACTTGATGATCACTAATTTGCAATAACATCATGCTAGTTCAGCATCATCGAGCCGAAAACTGATCATGGAAGCTTGTTGCACTGATGTTTTGATATCCTCGTCCTCTAATCTATATTATATTTCAAGAATTTTGAGGTTAAGTCTCATTATATCTTTTTTTCCCCTTTTTATTCTGCAAATTGTTCTCTTTTAAACAAATTATGTGAAAATTTATTGAATAAAAAAGGAAAAAGTGATATAAACTTGAACCAAACACCTCTGCAACGGCAAACGAAACAAACGTTCTTGAAAACATGATATATATTTAGAATAAGTTTAATATAAAACATTATTAAAAAAAATCCTACAAATACCTCCAATTATCTAAAATGAAAACACGAACAGTCACCAGTTTGTTGGGGCCAGTCTGGGCCAAAGATGGTCCGAAACATTTTTTACTCTTGTGGAGGGGTGGGCCAGGCCCAAGCAGTAGTGCAACGCTTGGGCGACCCGCGAAGGCCCCAGCAGCAAGCTACTGTGATGGGTCCTCCCCCTAAAAAAATAAATTTAATATCATGTGGGCCGATGGCCCACGTATCAGATATTAAACTGATAAGAACAGATACTACACTTGATCTTAGCCAAAAGGCCGAGAAAGGTATGAGTTTTACAAATCCACAATCTCTATTTTATAGTGAACCTTCCTCTGTTTTCTTTGAGCGACAACCGATGTGGGATTATAACAAAACAACAACTAAACAAAATTCAAACAAGTAAATTTTTTTGTTATTTTCCCATTTTGTTTTGGGGTACGAATAGTTTTCCAATTTTCTTTTTGCTTTCAATATTTCTAAAGTTCAATTTTATCATCAATATTAATATATATATGTGTATGTACATTCATGTGATGTATTTTAAAATATATTTTCAAGTTCTAAGACTTCATGGGCTAACAATTTTTTTTTTTGTGTGTCTGTGAGTTCTTTTTGAAACTTTAGCCAATTGAAAAAAAGGGTAAGTTTTTTAAATGATATATTCATTTGAACTTTCTTTTCCTATAAAAAAAATGTTAAATTATACAAAATGCCCGTAAACTTTTGGTAAATTTCAATAATTCTACGTTGCAAATGTTTCGAATTTCATTTATGCCCTTTAAACTTTAAGAAATATTTCAATTATACCTTTATCATTTAAAAAGATTCATTTTAACTCAAAACCATTTAAATGGTTTCAAAACAATGATTTCGCTATTTTTTTCCCCACTTAAAAGGGATGGGAATATAATTTATAAAAAAATTAAAGCTCTTAATATTTTACTTGTTTATTGATCATCCTTAAAACTCTAAATATAACATTTTTGTACTGTAGATAAACTAATCTATTTTAGAAAATAATACGTGGGATGACAAGATTTTTGTTAAATACTTGTACCAAAAAAAGGATAAACAAACACAAATATTTAAGCATTCAAATTGGAAAGAGAAACAATAGCCCAAATTTGTAATTTGCTTTTATTTATTCTTTGCAAAAGTTACCTATGCAATCTCACAAAGTGTAGACACAAATGGAACAGAATCAAGAAACAAATTGAACAAAACAAACAGCTCAATTAAAGACATAAATCTCAAGCTTGCTTGATCAAAGGTCAGGAAGTTACCTTAGGTTGTAATTATTTAGCTAGTATGTTCACAGAAGCAATAACCGTAAATGGTCGTATGCAAGTGCCTAAAAGAGGCAGCTATATCAGAGTAATTATGTTGGAGATGGAACATTGTTAACATGCTTGCTTGGCTGGTGCGCTGTCAAGTTTGAATCTCCATTGAAAATAAAGGCTAATGACCTGATGATTTAACAACACTACTAATTTACTACTACACCTCTTCTACAAGGAGTTGGAATAAACAACAATCTTCCCTATTCAATACGAGATCAAATTCCTCCTCCAATACAAAACTTTAAATGAGAACACATTTTATGAAAATTTATGATGGAAGGTTTTAAAAATACACATTTTTCCATCTGATATCTTAAATGAAAGCCAATTAACTCAAATTCTAAGCTTCTTTCCAGGTTGTAAATCATCATCATCTCCATTCATTTCCTTCTCCATTTTCTTTTTTGCAAGTATCTTGTTGATCTTGTGAAGCTCATTGGTGAGTTTCTGGTCCTTGTTTTGCTTTCGTGTTTTCCGACCATCTTGCATCTTCACACCGAACTGGAATGCAGCCTTTGGCATGGCTTCCTTCTGCTCGTTGTACTTCGCCCATTCCTCCTCAGTCTCAAAGTCCCAACGATGAAGGCGGCCCTTCGCCTACAAAAATGGATTTCAGAGTCGATAATCAAGTCTCATTACAGTAAACCAATTCCACAAGTATCAAAGTGGAACCCGTGGAATAAACATACCAAGTAGTTCAAACCATTTCAAAGAATCACATATTTTCAAATAAAGATATTCAAGTTATCTCAATTCCAAAAGCACAGTGATAAGGAATTACCCGGCCTCCCATATCCATTTTCGACAAGTCATCTTCATCATCACTGTCCACAATCTCACGGTTATACTCCTGATATCCGGGGTAACATTCAGAATAACTCTCCGATATGAAGTTGGGATCCTTCTCTCGCGCATCTCTCTCTCTCAGTTGCTGTAATCTCTGATCGTCTCTCTTGAACACCGAGCCTAAACCCCTATCTTTCTCTTCTTGAGTCATGAGGCGGGGATCCTGCTGCATGTTCAAGTCTGTTTGCATATCATATGCCTGCATGTTGAGCTGAAGGTACTGTTCAGAATAAGCTAGTTGATCAGAATACTGGTAGTCCTGCCACTCTCCTTGGTAGCCACCAGGAAATGCTTGGGGTTGCATCACCCCACATCCATTCTGCAACATCATTGAACTCAAGTAAGAACAAATGTAGAGGGGAAAAGGAGGCAAGAAGGGACGAGTGTCATGCTAATGACTCAGTATTGTAAATTAGAAGATAACAGGTGATTATAAATACATTTTTCTCGTAACTGGTAGTATAACAAGTTTCTGCTCGCCATTTGAAAGGCTATTGCAAATTTTCAAAGTGAGCAAGTGAAACTAACTTACTGCTTCTTGCCATTCCTGAGGAGGTCCAGAGGGCGGGACGGGACCATAAGCAGGTTCAGAGAAATAACTAGGTTTATCTTTATTTCGGGGAGACTCTTCCATGTCCTCCGAGAGAGGACTCTGGCTCAGGTCTTTACCAGGGATGGCATAATCGACACCATCCCCAACAAAAATATCATCTTCTTCTGATCTCGCAACTACTGGCCCCTGCTTCTCCTTCAAAACTATTTGATTTTTCTTGAGAGGAGGTGGAGGGGGCAACATCTCTCTTTCCGTTTGCTTCTTTGGCACACTAGCATCAAGTGCTGATGGCTTATTGTTTCCAACATATTCATTAACAAGAGCTGAAATCTTCGCTGCAAAGAAAATACAATAATAATGATGAATTAAAAAGCTAAAAAAAAAAATATATATATATATATATTTGAACAGGATCCCAATTGCTTGATGAAAACATGAATCATCATATCAAACATCAAACATATGTAAAAATGGAGGAAGAGAACATCAAGGTGGAATTCTTAAAGTAAAAAGACAAGTTGATCCGTTCATAAATAATGGTAGAAAACTTTCAGACACTGCATGACACAAAAATTTTAGGCATTCAAAGAAGAAAAGCATGTGCCGAAATTCACTAAAATGCTTTCGATGGTACAAAAATTTAACCGCCATGCGTACATACATACAGGAGTAAATGATACTCACTCTAAAATCCCGTACTAAAACCTAATCTTTTCTTCTTCACATGTAATAACGTCAATTAAAAACTTAAATTGGAAATGGCATGAGAGAAACTGAAGCACAACAATTATTCTTCCAATGACATTTACATAAAAAAGAGCATTGACATGGGATGGTAATTTCCTTTTGTATCCTCTCCTAGCAGCATTTAATTAATGAAAAAAAGATGCTAGTGACAACTACCTTTTACATCTCTATCCTTCTTTTTCTTCTTTAAAACCTTCCCAGAGGATCCAAGACGAAGATATGACATAATTTTAGCAATTCGATCCAGTACAGAACCATCAACATTGACTGTTACCATTTCCTGCATCAGTAAGTGAATGATGAAAATTAGATATGTCGTACAAAACTTCTGAGGAAAACAACGAGAGGAAAGAAAGATTTCACCAAGAGATCAAGAAGAAATGAACCT